GCCTGCAAACAGGGCCTGGCGGAGTCAACCAGCTGTCACATCTTTCACTTTAGCAAACTTAATATCAATGTGAAAAGTATGTCATTTTAATGTGGTATTGCTAAATGTACTAATCAATCAGTAGATAGTCAGCTTGGTGAAACTGCTTGATAAATGCAGGCAACTGCTGCCAAATATTTTTCACATTTCAAAATTTTAGTAATTATTTACGAACACATTTTGTGTATCATGTTTAAAGATAGGGGTATAACTTGAACCCTCAGGACCCCAGTGCAATAACCTATCCCCAGCTATAGAACATAGGTGGCCAATAGGTAGATGCTCAGGTGAAGAACACATCCCAATCGAATAATGTTTTTCCAGCTGTGGATTTACTATCCACCCATCCTTGCAGGGTTCTGTTTGCATGCAGTATCTGTGAATGTAGGCAGGGCCACCATCATGGGGTGACAACCATGACGGCCCGGGCCCGAGAGGGCTATTTTTTAAAATATACCCTTTCATGCTTTTTTACCCCTAACAAGGAACACATGAAGTGGGCGGCAGCATTGTGAAATAGCTGTGTGATACTAAAGTGAATACAAAACAAAAGTTCTGCACTCAAACTCTTATCACTGCTCGGCTGCAGCAACGTACCAACGCCCAGGAGTGATGGGAATTTGAGTGCAGGACTTGTTTTTTATTATGGGTTAATAAGTATGGTGGGTGGTATACATAAAAAATACCCCTCTCTGTCTCATTAGAGATATCTTTGCCAGAAGCTCAAGGAAGCAGGCTGAAGTGTCAGTGTTAGGACCCGCTTAGGGGGGTCTGCCTTGATGTTGGCAGGTGGGCATTCCCTCCAATGGCCATTGGAGCAACTAAATGACCTCCATTTGTTTAAAAATACATAGGGATTAAGGAGAGAGTGCAGGTAACTTTTTCTTTGTTTTTTTTTACTGTATGTAAGGTGGCTGATGTGCACTATGGTCGTTGCTGCTGCCCAGGAGTGATGGGAGTTTGAGCGCAGGATTTTTTTTTTTTTTTATTCAATCTCACAAAAAGTACACTCAGGCATCTCCCACACACAATCACACTCAGGCAACCCCCCACGCAATCACACTCAGCTAATACCACCGTCTTCCACATTAAGCCAAATTTACACTGAATCCCACTTAGAAAAGTCCTCGCATAATAATACTGGGCCAACTTCACGTATGCTTATCACACTCAGACACCAGTTACTCCCCAGCTTTATAGAGTTCTGAAATCAGCGCAATAGAGTTTATTATTGCTCGATATTGTGATTAATTATAGTGATATACCAACAAAACAATTGATATTTCTATACATTTATTCAATGTTTGTGTTAAGGACAGAGGTCAGTGCTAGGCACGGAAGCTTCATACATATTAATTACTATTTCATGTAGCCAACATTGACATTTATAGTTTGAAAACAGTGACTCACACGCCTCTGTCTTTGTCTAAAATTAGCTATTCAACTGAGAGTGGTTTGAAAAAGGAAGCAGATATATTCATTTTTCAAACAACTATTTATATAAAAGCAACTTTAATGCATTCTGTTTATATGTCTATTTTTGTGTATTTATTTATTTATTGGATGGTTTATTTGAGCAGATATGTCATAACTGGTCTTTTCATCAGTTAGAATAATATACAGGGCTGAAGCAAGCACCAGGCACAAAAGATGTCCTGTGCTAAGGTAGTGTAGGCAGGTGCCTATTCCGCTCAAAAGTACCAAGCACATGGTAATGACGGGGGATGACGGAGCTTTAATCTGATTTCCGTGCTCTTGAAGTTCAAGCGATAGTGATGCCAAGAGCCGAAATATGACATAACTCTGGTCCCGGCATCACTAGTGGGAGAGCTTGAACACGACAACCAGAGCAGTCCCACTAGACCCCAGGGACAGGATATATTCCGACTCTCCCAAATTTAGGAAAGCTGGGTGGAACTCAGGACCCCCTATTATACATAAACCCCCATTATAAATAAAAATTATTTGTGTGTGAGGGAATGTGTGAGTATATGTGTGTGTACAGTACATGTGAATGAATGTGTGTGTGTGAATGTGTCTGTATATATGTTTAAGATTTTTTTTTTTTTTTTTTATGGGGGAGAGAGGGTGCCTACCAAATTCTGTGCATTAAAAGTAAATACTGCCCTGTCTTTGGAGACTCAATTATCCGTCTCTCACACATACATCCTGGTGCTGGTCACTGTGCTCATGATATCTGGGTGAAAGCTAGACAATTGGGGGAAATAGAGTGCGGGAGGGCAGCAAAATGAAAATTGGCCTACGTGGGCAAAGTTTCATGTATCAACATTTTTGGGCTGCTGTGGTTAGAACCATAAATAATGCTTGCCCACACTGTCATATTTCGTAACACGTAAGTTAAAGGGAACACTGCCAACTTAATAAATTAATAAATGAAGAAATCATTTTTAAAAAGCTGATTAGCTTTAGCGGTATCCAATAATAAAATTAAACCAAAATAAAATGCTGCATCTCACTCCTATTTAGGCAATTTCATTGTTCAGTTTACTGGAAAAGACCTTTCACTGGGTTATGTTTATGGTGGTCCAACACAAAGCAACATTTATGGGACGCCATAGACACCCAGACCACTTTATCTCATTGAAGTGGCCTGGGTGCAGTGCCCCTGTCCCCCTTCACATGACAATGTAAAACACTGCAGTTTCAGAGATACTGCAATGTTTATATTACCGTTATGACAACCTGTAGTAGAGGTGATTCCTGGATTACTCATGTAGTGTGATATTGGTATTATGGAACAAAATGAAAACTGTTGACCTGCTATTCAGTTTGGATTTGTAGATAATTACAGATAACTAACTGTTACTGGTGTTCATAAATGTAGAGAACTAATTGTATAGTGTAAGTTTGTATTCCAGCACCTACACCTGTTATAGTTCACCAGGCTCAAGTTATATGCTTAAGGGCTGCTGGTGTTGCTAATTCAATTTGTGTGTGAGTGTATGTATTTAAATAAGTCCATGTGAGATATGTTTGTGAGGGTGGCTAATTATGTATGTGTGAGTTGAGTTACTAGAACTGTGTATTGTGTGTAGTTAGGTGTATGTTTATTATATCAGTGCATGTGATACACATCAGTAATGTCACATGCATATATGCATATTCATATACAACATTTTACATATTCTCATATCTCCAAGTGTCCATATTTAGGATGGAAAGTCTCTAATTTGGGCACAAACCCTACTGCCCCTCTTTTCCAGGAGCTCCATATTGTTGCTGTGTCCATGTATATAACTCCACAGCAATAATACTCCCAGTAATGTGTCTTTAAACTACAATAAATGTGTTTAGAAATCAGTCTGTGTAAATACGATACATTGTTCTTGTTCAAATTTACATTTTAGTTGTATACATTATTAGTAAGCCACCTCAAATGTCTTAGAAAAGCCCCACACCTGGCACACCCCCACCCACACAGATTAAAATGAACGTGCCCCAATTTGTTCATTTAAAAAGTTGGTAGCAAGGCATACAATGTCTCTGAGAGTGTGACAAAGTGTAGAAAGGAGATGACTAGTCCGAAAGAAACATAAAAATAAAATGAAATGGTATAACCTTTTACCACAATGTTATTCCAATCAATTTCCATAAATAGAATATATTTACATGTATTCCAATCAATTTCCATAAATAGAAAATTTTTACATAAATTCCAATAATTTTCCATAAATAGAACATTTTTACAACTAAAATGGTAATTTGTGACATCACTTCCTGCTAACCCAACAGCCCCGTGCTTTAGGGGCACTCATTACTCTAGTCATTGACCTTTGTTGCTTTAGTTCCGTGAACCTGTCGACACGTTTCAGATGTTGAACTTTTGAAGGATGATGCTGAACAAAGAGAAATGAAATCTACTAGACCATTACTATAGATCAACAGAAAGCAGAGGCCTCTAACTGAGCAAGTACCCCTCAAAGTCTGACACAAGACAATCCTCCGTCACCAGCGGATTAGTACTAGACTCAATCAACCAAGTTTCTAAAAATAATATTTTCTAGTTTGAAGTTAATACTGAAATGTTTATTTCATTTAAATTAAAAAATGCAATTGATAAGAGACATGCTAAAGTTTGTGAAGCACATTGGTATAATTTATATTTTCCCAGTGTGTATTAAACTGATTATCTGTGACCAATTATGCATTCTGTTATACAAAAATAAATGCGATAAATCAGGTAACAGTGAGAAATGACAAGTAGATTTACATGTACTGTAGAAGTCTTTCAAGTGTTGCGCATTCAACACAGAGTGCGAGCGTTGCTAAACAGTGAATGTTTGTGAACTGAAAATTCTATTTCGAAATTTAATTCAAAATTGCTGATGTGGAACAATTCTTCAATGCAGCTACACTGACATATTGACTATTTTATCCTAAATCTACTCTTTAATGAATAAACCATAAAGGAATGTTTTCTCATCTGATCATTTAAACCATTTGGGTGAAAAGAAAATGTCAAAATTACTTTCTTTTCAAAAATTTATTTTTTTAGAGAAATCTAAGCCAGGTCCTTGAAGAAGACTTAAATGTGTCAGAACGGATTTAGTAAGCACTCACACCAGTTTGATAATTTCTCTACAATTGAGTTATCAATATTATCATTGTGTATTAATGTTCTAACTTTATATATAGACCATGCCATGTTTCTTCCAAATTCTGAAGTCTTCCTACAAGTCCAGCCACTTTCCGTCCAAGCTCTAGCTTGCTCTTACTATATCTTATCATGTTCCTTCCACTCTCTAGGATCTTTCTGCAAGCAGAGTCACATGCCTTCCAAGCTCTAAATCTTCCTGCAAGTTGAGTCATGTTCCTTCTAAAGGCTTACATCTTCCAGCAAACAGAAGCCCAATCCTTTTGAACATTGACATTCTCCAACTAAGTTCTGCCATGTCCCTTCCAAGCTCTGACATATTCCAACTATGTTTTGTCACATTCCTTCAAAGGTCTGAAATGCTCCAACAAATTTTTGCCATGTTCCTTCCAAGTTTTGACACGTTCCAACTCAGTTCTAACATGTTCCTTCCAAGATCTGACATGTTCCAACTTAGTTGTGACATATTCCTTCCAAGTTCTGTCATGCTTCGACTAAGTTCTGTCATATTCATTCCAAGATCTAACATGTTCTGACTAAGTTCTATTACATTCCTTTCAAGATCTGACATGTTCCGACTAAGCTCTATTATATTCCTTCCAAGATCTGACATGTTCCGACTAAGCTCTGTCACATTCTTTCCAAGATCTGACATGTTTTGACTAAGCTCTGTCACATTATTTCCAAGTTCTGACATGTTCCGTCCAAGCTCTGTCATGCTCCGACTCAGTTCGGTCATGTTCCTTCCAAGCTCTGGAGTCTTCCAGCAAGCCCAGTTATTCTCCTTCCAAGCTCTCTGCATCTGTCTGTCTCCTGGGAGGAAGCACCAGGCAAATTGCTACCCTTGCCCAAAAAGCCAAGGCCATCATCTGGTGGTCTATATGCACTGAATGAATTACCACACCTTCTTTGTCCCAAAATGCCATGTTTTTTCTGTGAATCTAATTCTGCATTGTGGTATATGTCTCTGTGTGTGTCTGTCTATCTGTGTGTGGGTGTATGTATGAATCTGGATGTGGATGTTGGTATTTGTCATTGCATGATTGTAAAGGTAAAATCTGTTTCAAAATCAACCAGTGCACCTCCTGAGTTCAGGCTGTAAATCTGTCCCTGTCTGTCTGTCTGCCTGCTTGCCAGTCTGTATATCTGCCTATCTATCTTTTAAATGATGTGATCTATTCAATATGATTAAATGTTAAAATATGATTTATAAGGTAACAGCATTTTAGAAATTAGAAAGACAAAATGTACACAGTTTAAAAAAGAACATGAAATGCTCATAAATACATCCAGTACAGAGGGGACATGCTGGACATCAAAAGGCTTCTAGAAGCCATTTATTTAAAAAAAAATACATTAACAAGCAGACCCTGTAACGGAAAACATCCACGCACGCACCTACCAAGGGCATTGCAGACAGGTGTAGACATAGTCCCATAATGGCAGTTTAGGCCTCTTAATAATCACCAGAGCTTGCTTGGTATATTGTGCGGGGAAAAAGTGTGTGGTAGTAAAGAGAAGCAGCCCCAATTCTCACAGGATAAAGCTGAGAGATAGCAATAGGCTAAGAGCCATCCATCATGTGCTGACAATTTTCTAGCCCAGAATAACTTGACAGGGACGCAGAACAAATTGTTGTTGAGAATTGAATGCTGCTAAGGCTTGAGTGGATTGACTCTCTGGTGTCAGGGAAGAGACCTATTTCAAGTGGATGAAGAATTTTCATCTTGTGATTCAAGGGCAGAAGGGTTTTCAACAGAGCCCTGTAGGAAAGAGACCTAGAGCTCATCTTAAAAGAGAATATATACTAAGTTACGTGGTTGTATTACTATTTGTTTTAAAATGGGTGAGGATTTTGGACCGAGTAGTTTTAGAGATAAAGAGAAGTTGGACCTTTGAATTGTTAACCAGGCCTGAGTTTTAGGAATTATGTTATTAAAATATGATTATTATTATTATCATTCATAAAGCGCCAGCAAATTCTGCAACGCTATATAATGACAAATTGTAATATTTACTTCAGCTATGGGATACACAGCTTATACATTTAGAACAAAATAGCAATTTTGCATATAGATTACTGCTCAGGGATACTTTTGAAAAATATTATTTATTTAAATAGTATGTTTTCGTTCACTCAGGTGTAATTTATAGAAATAGTAGGAGAATATATAATTTTTTGAGAATAATGGAATTGGAAAATATCTATCTGTGCTATTTTGGTTTGTCCTCCTGATTTTTTAATACACTCCAAACTGTACCGTTTAATAAATAAATCCAGCAATTGTTTAAAATGTTCTATAAGGTACAATACCTGCAATAGTTTATACAAAACTTGACATATTGGCTGAGTTTTGTTTCATGAGTAGGTAATGGAAAAACATTAAAAAAAAACATGCAAATGGTCTAAAACTCTGCTTGTGGTAGTTTGTAAGAAACTGCTGGCTTTTGGGGGAATTTAGATTCCCCAAAATGACATCAGAATTTATATCTGCATTATATTCTACATTGCAGGTTGCTGTTACAGTTTTCACATAGGTTTTGCAGTGTGCTTTGCAGAATGAAGCCCTGTATGTCTGTTTGACCAACACAAAATCCTGAACAGTGATGGGAGCAGGGACTAGGGACATTTAATGTCTGTCTTCTTTTTATTATACCTTCTGACTAAAAAGACCCCTAGTGGAGAAATTAATTTCTTCACTGTGAGAATAATGACACTGGAAGAGGACTTTGTCGTGATATTTTCATTTTATATTGCATTACAAATCAAAATGAAATCAAGACTATTCAAATCTTGAAGGGAAGGATTCATTATACATTCACGTACATCCATTCTCTTGGTTGGTCCCTTGGGTGGCCATTACTTCTTTTATATTTTGCCTTCTTGTCAGTAGATAACAATGTTTTTGTTCGAAATGCACATTTTTGCTGCACTATATCACTCTTTCATAAATTCTCTGATGTAACAGAATTTTCTTTCTTTCTACTTGTGAATTCCTTAAAATGTATGATCTGATGTATATTGATGCTACTCAATAAAAATAAAGGTTATTCAGGTAACATTACGTGCAATTCAATGCATGTGATTTACTGTGGGAGTTGTGAGTAATTCAGTAAGCTCAAAATACCCAAGTTATTAAAATAATGGAGTTAGAGAACATTCCCAAAATTAGTATTTTGTGTTGCCCTTGTTTTCTTTAAATTATAGTAAAGTCACCCAAACTCACTGTTTAGTAGGTAAAGCCAGCAAAAAATCTAATTTTCTTGGAGATATCAAATCTGTCAAACACAACAGGATTCTTTTGACATCACTGCTAACTGTAACCCAACATGTTTCTCTAATATAAATTAATATTAGGTATTAAAGTGCATAAGCCAAGATAAGGGTAATCTCTCTTACTATAGGTATAAAGGGACACTCCGAATCCTGAAGCACTTTAGCTTGCTTTAGTGATTTATGTGTGAAGAGTCCGTAGTCTTTGTTTTCATTTTACAAACAATACAGATTTCAAAAGAAATTAGCACATTTATAAATTAACTTTGTTACACTCCCCTGACAGTCAGTCAGACAAACGATCATGTTACTTCCTGGTTTGGCTAGCTCAGTCAAGCTAAACTCAAGAGGCAATAATTCCCCAGAGCACCTACATTGCAAAGACTTCTCATTGAGCTACATTTGGTTGTATGTGATTGGACAGCCACAGACAGTCTGGGCGGGGTTTGAAGGGGAGGGCTTGCAGGATGTAGACAAAAGATGTGTAGCTTCGACAAGCTGTTTGAAATAAACACTCAATTAAAAAATACATATTTAAATGCATGCATGTTTTCATTTGGAATATATCTTCTAAATAGTAATATTTATTTATTTATATAGTGTATTTGTCCAGTGGAGTGTCGCTTTAAAGTTTATAAAAGTATTTTTAAAAATACTCTCTGAGATGCTAATCCTGTTGCATAAATAATTTCCACTTTAATGTCATTATGTGTTTGTGGGAGATAATCCTTTTGAAATTAGATTTGTTCTGTATTTCTACCAAATCATGAAACACAGATAGTATGATAATTATCAGTGATCATAATGCATTATCTTGATTCAATAGGCAAATGAGTGTACTCTATTTTTTTTTCAGTGTATTATCTTTACTAAGATTTTTCAGAAACAATAGAAAATAGAACGATTTCACATACAACCATTGGGAAGTTAGTAAACTATGTTTTTTCCATGTATGTATCTGCAGTGATAAGATAAGTAGAAATTAGAAGAAAATGCTGGGAGTTTAGAGCAAAAAAAGGACAAAAGATAAGAGATATAAAAGGGGAAAAATAAAAAAGGTAGTGGAAAAGCTCAACAGGTTTGAGGGGTAGGGGGGGATTAGGGCAATAGGTTTTCATTTATCCAGTGTGCGTCCTAGTCAAAAAAAAATGTTTCTTGAATTTCAAAAATATTTTTAGGTTCCGGTAAGCCATTTCTTCGTAGGGTTGCATTGTATGAAGCCATTGGGTTACCATTTGGATGGTTGGGAGGGTTTTTTTATTTTCATTGCCTGGCTATAGAGTTTTTGGCTGTAGTTAGAATGTGGGGCATTACACTCTGTGGGTACTTTGGAACTGTTCGGGAAAGCATGTCTATGAGAAAGCGGTGGTTTATAAGGGAGTCGGACTTGTATGAGTTTATAGATGATAGCATGCAGTTTTGTCCAAAATGCCTTAGGGACCCCAGATTTCCAGAAGATATGGACAAGTGATCCTTATTTCGTTTCTACACCTCCAACATGTGTTAGATGTGTTTGGATAGACGTGGGCTAAATGTTCTGGTGTCATGTACCATTGGAACCAGAGCTTGCCATTTGTTTCCCAATGGGGCATGCATTTTGATACCCCTTTCATGGCTACTAGTGCTTCTTTTCAGTTCTCTAGTGAAAACGTTCTTGTGATGTCAGCCTCCCAATCTTTTATGAATGGTGGAAATGTAGTGGATAGGAGAGCAAGGTAACTTGCGGAGAGTGGTCTATATTTTCTGCGAGGGAACATTACACAACTTGTAGAATGGGGATAGGTGAGGGTCTGCAGGATGGTCAAACTTGTGTGATTGGAGCCAATGATTAATACGAAGACAGGTAAAAATTTATTTACAGGTTATTCCAAAATGGCAAGTGAGCCCTGAGAAAGCTACTACTGAGGTTCTCTGGACAAGGTTTTTGACTGATTCCTTCCTTTATCTTGTTGCGTAGATCATAATCTGGTGCGTAGAGTAGTAAGCTTGTGCGAAATTCAGGTGGAAGCAGGGGTTTACAGTCAGTCACACACAAACAGTTACAGATCAGACAGTCACATGCACAGTTACAGGCAGACAATCACACACAGTCACACACACATTTACAGACAGTTATCTCTTTCCATTATGAGCACTGTGGGAGGGGATGGAGACACAGCAGTCCTTGGTATCTAGTTGTTTGTAAGTAGGGCCTCCTCTATTCTTCCCCCAGAGTGTGCAGCAGTAACCAGGCAGTGTGCAGCAGTAACGTTTCCAGTGAGAGCCAAGTTCCCTCCAATATGAGCTGCTGTGTTCCCTCCAATAAGCGCTGCTGCGTTCCCTCAAGTATGAACTTCTGCTTTCCCTCAAGTATGAGCTGCTGCGTCCCCTCAAGTATGAGCTGTTGAGTTTGCTCCAATATGAGCTGATGTGTTCCCTCCAGTATGAGCTGATGTGTTCCCTTCAATATGAGCTGATGTGTTCCCTCCAGTATGAGCTGCAATATTCCCTCCAGTGTGAGCTGATGTGTTCCCTCCACTCTGAGCTGATGTGTTCCCCCAGTGTGAGCTGCTGTGTTCCCTTCAGTATGAGCCAATGTGTTCCCTCTAGTATGAGCTGCAATATTCCCTCCAGTATGAGCCGATGTGTTCCCTCTAGTATGAGCTGCAATATTCCCTCCAGTGTGAGCTGATGTGTTCCCTCCACTCTGAGCTGATGTGTTCCCCCAGTGTGAGCTGCTGTGTTCCCTTCAGTATGAGCCAATGTGTTCCCTCTAGTATGAGCTGCAATATTCCCTCCAGTATGAGCCGATGTGTTCCCTCTAGTATGAGCTGCAATATTCCCTCCAGTGTGAGCTGATGTGTTCCCTCCAGTATGAGCTGATGTGTTCCCTCCAGTATGAGCTGCAATATTCCCTCCAGTATGAGCTGATGTGTTCCCTCCAGTATGAGCTGATGTGTTCCCTTCAGTATGAGCCGATGTGTTCCTTCTAGGATGAGCTGCAATATTCCCTCCAGTATGAGCTGATGTGTTCCCTCCAGTATGAGCTGATGTGTTCCCTCCAATGTGAGCCGATGTGTTCCCTCCAATATGAGCTGCTGGGTTCCCCCCTAATGTGAGCTGCTGTGTTCCCTCCAATGTGAGCTGCTGCATTACCTCCTTGCTGCATTACTGTGAGCTGTTGTGTTCCCTGACTATTCTACAGACATCAGTCAGTCTGTATAACCATTTGGAAATCTGGTAGAAACCTGCATACTTGGCTACTATTGGCTGATATGCATGTAAAACCAGGAGAGTTGGAGTGCTGAAGAGGAGTATTCCAATGATACCATTTATGTAAACTCTGCGTCAATGACGATTGCCCAGGAGATTCCACAAAGCCTGCCCATACGCAGAGTGTTTCTGAAGCAATCTTGAATGGGAAGAAATGCCCTCGGAAAGCTTTTGGGACACCAGACAAAAAAAATCATTGACGGGTATAGGGACCAAAATCTGTACTGTCTAACTGGATTGAGGACACTGGACAATATACAGTTATGGCACTTCATTTATTAAAATTTGCTCCAACACTTTATGACACTGTCACACTTAAAGCTAAAAAAGACATGACTGTGTATTTTTAACATAACACGCAGTTTGTGGATAGAGATAACATGTGTTCTCAGCATTTTCTGTTGGACCTGTCATCTGTCTGACACAGACATTTAGTTTGAGATTTTTACCATCAAAATATCTAATTCCGTGGAGTTTTGATTCCTAGCGACACTGGGTTGTCATGTAACAAAGACTCAGTTGAGCCAAGAACACGACAAAACTTTCACACATACACAGGTCAAAGGATCTCGGATCAGCATAAAAAAAAATTAAAACTGCATTTAAATTTGATTGAAAACATTTAAATAATGATGTATGGTCCCAGCATGTAGTTAACGGTACAAAATAGGATGAATCTCTTTTGCAAATTAGTTGTTTGGGGACGGAATCTGGCAAAAGCTTTTAGCTTTGTCTGTTTCCCTCGGACTTGACATTCGCCTGACAGAGACATTCACTTGTAGATATACATCTCTGATCTGTTTACATTCAGTAATTCACTACTGGGACTACAAGTTGCTTTTGAGTTTTTACCACACTATGTGGAGCCTGAAAAACATCAAATCCTCCCGTATTTGAAAGCTTTTGGGGCCATCAAGTAATCAAAACATGCGACAATCAAATGGGAGACCTGCCATTGTAAATAAGGAAGTGAACACGCTTCTTGGAAATGGCTGCCCTAGGGGTTAAAGGCACAACCAACATCACTTGTGCATGTATAAAAAACACAGGCACCGTGTGCACATGTAAATCATGTATTTGCTTTGGGTCTGCTAATACGATATTATTTTCTAATTTACTAGGTGCCATGCTATGGTTCGTGCTTCCTGCCAATCAGCAGTAAATGAACATAACGTTGGCAAGTAATATTACACCCAGCGTCCCTTTAGCACATTTTAGGTGCACAACATGGAGTACATTTGCTTATGTGTGCTGCACAGGCTAACTGTAGATGTTTCTTGTTTTTATGAGCTATTATTACAGCATTTATTTACCTCACAATGGGACACATTGTAACACGCATGTTATCAGCCCAATACGGGTCATGTGGATAGTATGGAGGCCTACTCCAAAGCAGTTGATGTGCCAGAAGTTGCCTTTTCTAATTAGCATGTCTGTGGATTCTCTAACATTCGCCAAAGATCTCCTAGTATGACATCTGGTTGCTAAGCCCCGGATGTACATCATTTTAAGGGCATAGGCAGAAAGGAGAAATTGTGTTTAGTTCCACACACTATGACCCACTTTCACCACTATTACAAATAATTTAAATGTTTTGTATAATTTTCCCATTTTATAATGTATATTAGACACTCTGTTTACTTTCAAATTTGTATCAAAGGAACATTATAGGGTCAGGAACACAAACATGTATTCCTGACCCTATAGTGCTTAGTCCACCATTTAGGTGGCTTGCCCCACTAAGAAAATGTTAAAACTCGAGTATGACCCCGCCCCGATCCGCCTCCCTGGTATTACAGATTTTTATCCAACCCAATGCTTTCCCTCGGTGAAAGCGTTTGATTGTCTGAAACCGGCAAGGAGGCGGGATTGGGGCGGGGCCAGATGCTGTTTTGGCCAATCAGCACCTCTTCATAGAGATGCATTGAATCAATGCATCTCTATGAGGAAATTTCAGCATCTCCAGGCAGAGCGCAGAGACGCTGAATGGCAGTGATGCCTACTGTGCAGCACTGCCCCAGGAAGCACCTGTAGTGGCCATATGAGGAGTGGCCACTTGGAGGTGTCCCTAGGGGGCAATATAAACACTGTCTTTTCTCTGAAAAGGCAGTGTTTGAATGAAAATGCCTGAAGGCAATGATTATACTCACCAGAACAACTACATTAAGCTGTAGTTATTCTGGTGACTATAGTGTCCCTTTAAAGATCTAGCGAATTAGACCGGAATCCAATCAATCCAGGCACAGCCAGAGCACACATTGCTAACAAAGACGAGAAACAGAAAGATTGTTTCATATTGTTTCTTTTCTCTGCAAACATTTTCTATGTCAGGTTACTACAGAGTGATCTTTCATATAAGAGAAAATTGTGTATTTTAAGTAGAGTTCCCCTTTAACTACCATACGATAGGATTGGCCTAATAAAGTAAAACCTGCAATTAGTTTAATGACTCCCCTACTCCTTCCCAACACAGCACCTGCTTAGAGATTTAACATCCTATGCATTAACTTTAAAGGGACATTATAGTCACCAGAACAACTACAGCTTAATGTGCTGATGTCTATAGCCTGTCCCTGCAAGCTTTTTAATGTATGCAGTGTTTACAATGCTGGCTAGTTACAGCTCTAGTGGCCGTCACAAAGTCATATGCGTAGCACTGATGTTCAGCATCTCCACGCTGTACATGGAGACACTGAACGTTCCCCATAGAGATGCACTGATTCAATGTATCTCTATTGGAGCAGCACTGTGATTTGATGCCCATGCGCTATAGCAGGCATAGGCAAACTTCGGCACTCCAAATGTTTTGGACTACACCTCCCATGTAGCTTTGCCAGCATTATGGGTGTCAAAGCATTATGGGGGATGTAGTTCACAACATCTGGAGTGCCAAAGGTTGCCTACCCTTGCACTATAGCCTCCCAATGCTTTCCTATGGGAAAGTATTAGATTGGCTGAGTTCATCAAATTTGATGATCTTAGCCAAGGAGGCGGAGTGGGGAAGTGCCAGCGGCGGGGAGACCCATGCAGCACTGAAAAACTGGGTGAGTTTAACACCTTTTTAACAGGGAGCAAGGGGGTTCGGGAACCTAAATGTCTTTCTTAAAACTATAGTGTCAGGAATACTTTTGTATTCTTGACACTATAGTGTTCCTTTAAAGATAGTGTAGGAATTGGTAGTGTTGATTCATGTAAAATTGGGGCTCATCTGGTTCTTCTCACAATACATTTCTTTTTTTTTAATTTAGCTGTTAGTAATAATAGTGAATCCCAGACAATTTGCCTATTTTTACCTAAATTAAAAATTTAGATACGTTTTAGTAACTGTTAATAAAAATAGATTACTGTAAATATTTTAAGAAACATTAATAAATCAAATCACTGTAATAAATCTTCATCTGTAACTCTAAATCAATAATCTGCTCTGAAGAAAAAAGCGTGAAAGAAAATATTTATATTTATAAAATTTTATTTTATTAACTGATCTTAGAAAAAATTCAAAAACTGATTATAAAAAAATCAGACGTTTGGCTCTTAAACAGTTAAAGTGGTAATTCAAAAAAAAAAGAAAATTCTCACCTATATTTCCACGAATGTAATTTAGAGAACTGTGCGAAACTTGAGCAATCTTTGAACAGACACATCTGACTCACCATGCAATATTCATTTTGAAAGTTCCTTGTCTTCTTTCTCCTGGGCCCGACTCGCAGATAAATCTTTCATTGTGGGAGACCCCAGAATTATGCCAAAGGGCTGGCAACCCTACTGGGAATATCGAGGTTGTATGGGTTGCCATGTAAGAAGAGTTTTTCGGTATTAAATGTAGCTTGTATATTTCTACAACTCAATAGATGTCTTTAATTTATATAAAAAAATAAAAACATACTACAACTATTTTTTTGTTTTTATGTGAATTAATACAGGCCATTTTTTTCTTTATTTTAAAGGATTCTCACACATTCTGTACAAAATGTCAATTTAAAAACTAAGAATATGTTGGGCTGAGGATAAAAAATAACATTCGGTTACATTTTGTGATATAGAATATATTTTGGAAAATTAGTAAAATTCTTTATGTTAGTATAAGTATGGAATGATTCCCTATCTATTGATATAGTCATATATTTCTAGAATGGAATTCCCAGTTAAAAGATGGAACTCAATAGTTATGAATCTATTTTACAACTTGACTTATTATGTTAAAGGGACACTATAGTCACTAGAACAACTAAGGCTTATTGTATTTGTTCTGGTGAGTATAATCATTCCCTGCAGACTATTTGCAGTAAACACTGTCTTTTCACAGACAAAGCCTATGGACACCTCCAATGGCCACTCCTCAGATGGCTACTAGAGGTGCTTCCTGGGGCAGTGCTGCACAGCGTGACTGATATTCAGCGTCTCTACAGTCTGCACAGAGACGCTGAACTTTCCTCATTGATTTAATACATCTCAATGAGTAGATGTTGATTGGCCAAGGTGGTGTTTTGCCCTGCCTATGCCTTGCCTCCTTGACATTCTCAGCCAATCCAATACTTTCCATGTGGGAAAGCCTTGGATTGGCTGAGATCATCAATTTTGATAAAGTCAGCCAAAGAGGTGGGTCAGGGGTGGGGCCAGCACGTACAGATCTGTTGAGAGCTGGAATTAAGTTTTTTTTCAAAGGGTTTAAGGGGGGAGGGGTAAGCCACCTAAATGGTGGTTTCAACACTATAGGGTCAGGAATACATGTGTTCCTGACTCTATAGTGCTTCTTTAAAATGATAATGAAAGCCTTAAGTAATATAATCTGAGTGATTTTCTAGTACCTAAAATGCAAATATAATAAAAATGCATTAATATTTTTTAAAGTACAGTGACAGGAAAGAGTGTGTATTGAG